CTCTCTCTCTCTCTCACACACACTCTCTCTCACACACACACTCTCTCTCACACACACTCTCTCTCTCTCACTCACCTGCGGTCTTGTTAACGGAGGCCATGATTGTGAACGCGGACCTGAGCTGCCTCCTCTAATCCAGAGTCTGGGTCATGTGACTCGACTCTAATCACTAGAGCTCATGTTGTGTGGAGCGTTCTTCTTCTTCAGGGACTTTATTCAACCTGAACATTAAATGTGTAAAAACAGAAATGTTGATGTAGAAACATGTGACAACAAAAACCACACTCCATCATTACTGTTGGTGTGTGTGAGCGCTGTCCTGGCACAGAATGACCACAAGATGGAGCCCAGCACAGAGGAACAACACTCATGACGTCACAGTGAACACGCCTGACACATGTGAGTAAATAAACTTCTGTCTGACATGTTTTAAGTCGTGTTCCGACTGTTCACGTGTTATGAAGCAGCCTCACACTGAGTTTAGAATATTAAGGGTATTGAAGTGTCGTGTCCTGTGACCTTCAGCTCATGTTTATACGATGAATAATAATGAACTGGTTTATTTCAGCATGAGGCTGAAACATAAAAATGAAAAACACAAAGTAAAGGTGAAATCTGAAATCTTTCTAAAAAGACTGTTTAGCTTTTTAGAGGTCAACTCTGATATTTTTGATTTCAGCAGCTCTGCTGTGATGTCTCCTCCGCTTGTTCTCTACATCCACTGATGAGTCACAGGATTACGGACCATGATCAGATATTTCCTCGTTAAAAATAGTTTTTATCATTTCAATGTTTTTCACCAAAACAGTTTATCATCATTTATAATTGGTTTTCTAAGTCTTTGAAAATCTTTGTCTCGCTGACTCATGACACGTGAGGCAGATGTCTTGTTGTGTTACTGGTTTATTCACAGACACTTTACACTCTTCAATAATTTAAGCGAACAGCAAAGTTCAAGCACTGAGACGACGAAAACAAAAACTCACTGATCATATTTGGCAAAATGAATCCAGTCATGCACGTCGAAATAAAACCAACAAACACAAGATGTACATGACACAACACAAATGTAAAGAAGTGAAGCATCAGCTGCACTCATTCAACCACTAGTTAACATTAGCATTCATCCACTTCAGAGCTAACGTTAGCATCAGACACTCAATGCTGAATCTGAAGTAGAACCAACTGATGTGTTGCTGTCAACTGTTTGAACATCATGTTTTTATAAGAACTTGAGCTGTTGTATCGTTTCACTTCAGAAACGCTACATGATGCTTTAGCAGCAGGTTTGATTCCAGTGCAATGAAAACTCTTTTCCTATCGTATTATGTTCCACCGTGTTAAAATGTTGGTTGAAGGCTAGCTAAGAAGTAGTTGAATGCTAACATTAGCACCACGTTGTGATGTTCCTCCAGATTTTCGAAGGTCTGTTTCAACACAATAGCTTTTGAGCCAAACCTTTATGCTTTTATTCTGAAGAACTACCTGTACACTAATATTCAGGTTGTGATTATTTTAATATCAATAACATCGAGGATTCGGATGAAGCTAAATATAACACTTATATATAAATACGTGATTTTCTCAAACAGCTTCTGTGGATTTTTCCATTAAACAAAAATAACTAACGAGTACGAGTATGTACACACTTGTCTCTTAAACTTTCACAGACACAGTTAATAAATAAAGTTAAAGACATCGTCCACCCACAGGTGTCGTCCATCCTTCAGCTAACAGCATGCTAGCTATGCTCAGTGTTAGTTTTAGAGGGGTAGTTCTCACAATTCTTTTTCACTAAAGGACAAACTGGGTCATTCTGAGGACAACACTCATTTATTCTGAGAGTGATGTTAAGACTAACGAGAGGATCAAGTCTTGGCATCGAACACAGCGATAGGGCGAGTGGTTAGCCTAGCTTAGCACAAACACTGGAAGCAGGGGAAATCCATTTAACTCAATCAGAGACAAACAAGCTACAAGTCTGATTTAAAGACTACATCTGAATTAGAAATGTGAAGTGGAGACATCGTGGTTCTGGCAGCAGTTAGCGTTAGACTGTCACGCTGTATCTTTAATGTCCTGACACAGTGGGGTTGGTTGGGGATGGTTAAACAATAAGCTTGTTAGCTAGCAGGTGTATTTTTTCTAATTTGTAACGGGCAGCTGGATGAGCCACATGAGCCACAGTTCAAAAAGAATGACCTGCACCCAGCCGGATTTTAAGATCAGAGATTGGATTTTGCTAAAGTGCACTAAGGAAGTCGTAGTTTACTTCCCCCTGAAAATGTCCAATTTCTCAAAGACTCCAAGGATTCTAGTAGTAGAGGTGAAGACTGCAGCTGCTTCCTCTTCTTCTATGGTTTCATGTGTCTCTACTTCCTGTGATTGCTCCAACAAAGTGTTTTCACTGTGAACCAACAGAACCAGGTTCAGTTTGATCCAGACACAGAACTCCTCTTCTGGTCTGAGGAACCGTTCACAGCTGATGTTTGAATGAGGTTCTGCAGCTCTACATTCACACTAAAACATCTCAAGCATGAACGGAACCATTAGAGAGGCCACAGACCGTGGATAGTTGTTTTAATGGTGCTGTTAGCAACCTGAATGACTGATTCCCCTGATTCCAGTTATGAAACTAAACTGAACACGTCCTGTTTCTGTGCTGATACACAGACTTGAAATGTAATTCAAAGATTTAGAAGATGGCTGACAAGCCCATTTGACAAAATGTCTGGTTGTTGGTTGCGCTGCTTTGAAAGCACACTCCACTTCCCATGTGGAGCGTTTTGTGGTTCTCGCACAGACATAATAAAACTACGACTTAACTAAAGATGGTTGATCACTGAGACCAAAATACCGGACACGAGCACCTCCTTCAGAGAAAATTGCATTTTGAAGATCTTTCCTTTTCTGTCCCTTTGGTTTCCTGTGTGCACTTGTCTTTGACTTTTTAAATATTACCGATGGTTTTCAAACGGTTCTCATTCAGCCGCCACAAATCAAAGTAAATGCAGCTTCAAAGTAAAAACATTTTGAAAACATCGAACAGCTGCTACAGATTTTTTCTCCCATTTTATCAGAAAACAATACAGATACCAGAGTTGTCCTTTTACTGTGATGCTGATGTTCAAACCAAATCCTTGTCTGACCGACGTCCTCTGGTTGGTGTCCTCTGGTTGGTGTCCTCTGGTTGGTGTCCTCTGGTTGGTGTTGGTGTGGATGAGCTGACTCAGTTGAACGTCTCCTTGTTGATCCACATTAGGGTCCGTGTCTCGTTGGGCTTGCATTCGTACTCGATGTTGCTGAACTTGTTTCCGAACTGGCAGTGCTCCCTCTTGTAGTAGTTGTAGTATTTCGCCTGCCAGACTGTCTCAAATGTCCCTGCCTTGTTAAACTGGACAGAAAGGGACTGTGTCACCAACACTGCAGCAGCAATGATGAGAGTAGCTTTTGATTTCATACTTAAAAATACAAACAACTGGTCCCTGCCTGAGTCAGCATCTACCTGATATCTCCTACAGGTGTCGCTGCTGTCTTACCTCGATACTGACTTGGACAGGCTGCCGGTCTCCGCTCTTAGTGTGCGGGACGCCCTCCGTGTCGTACTTGCCGTGATAAATCACAGAGTCCTCGTCCCTGGACTGCTGCTCGAGAGGGAAGATGATGCCTCCAATGTTCATGTTGCTGTGAGGAGGAAGAAAAGCACGTGGTGATGTTACGTTTGTGATCAACCTGCTTTTTCCAACGTTTCAAACAAAGGGAACCGAGTCTTCCCGTTTATGGTTGAGGCCAAATGTCACGACCTGTCCTGAACTTCCCCGTTTAAACTGTCCAGACTGTCCAGACTGTCCAGACTGTCCTGTCCAGACTGTCCAGACTGTCCAGACTGTCCCTCGTCAGACTGAAGTTCACCTTCCAAACCCAGAAACAGAACTCTACCGGTGACTGACAGTTACCAGATGTGTTGACGCTTCACATCAAGAAGGTTCCAGTTCCAATCCAGATTCACGACACGCGAAGATGTCCTAACTAAGTCCACGTGTTTACGTTCACATGTACGACACG